CTAGCAAATTTTTCTTAATGGCATAAATGGGTTCAAAAACAGCAACGTTTGAGACATATTTTAATTTCAGAAACAAGAAGAAGCCTGCTGGAATAGAGTCTGGTGAATTGAAGGTTGGAGAACAAGTGACATCAAGTTCTTGGCCAAAAACTGTGTTATTAGTACTGTTATGTGGATGGGAGTATTGTCACAATGCTATTCTCTTCAAACAGTCAGTCTTTTCTTCCTCACTGATTCATGAAGACATTTTATCACTTCCAGATGGTGTTCCTTATTTACTGTCTTCCCTTCTGGAAAAAGTTCCTGTTGAATGACACCAGAATTGAACAAAACAGTGAGCAGGACCTCCACATTCAACCAAACTTGTCATGCATTTTTGGATTGCATAAAGATTTTCCACCCACAGTGATGACTGATGTTTTGTTTCCATGTCATACCTATAGACCCATGTCTCATCCCCAGTGATGTTTTTCTTTTTATTAGATCTAACCTGTTCCAGAATTCTTCGCTTATTGCACTCGTGGAAAGAAAAATCTCAGAATGCAATCAACATGTGTTTACACAAATGAACATAATATAACAACAAATAAACTTTGCTTTTGGCAGATAGTACAGAAAACTTGCCAGTAGAGAGCTATCCAAGCTGCACTGAGATTCAATTAATGGTTGGTATGTAATTTAAAAAGTTTGCAAACTTTCCAGACAGATCTTGTATATGTATAATGTTTTTGTCAGTTGCCTTGGATTTTGTCGGCCTGTCCATATCACCTCGTTGCTAATTTTGCAAAAACAAAGGGAGACTCACTCATTTTCATGCTCAGTGTGGTGGTGTTTCTCGTGTGATCATTATTCCGTGCATCTAGCTAAACAATTCCATTGCTTTCCTTTCATTTTAGCTCCATCATGGGACCAAAGAAAGTTTCCAGAGCCAGCAGCCCTATATACTGTCCTATATACTGTTGTCAACTTCACGACACTAGGACACTCCATTTATGCCCAATTTAAAAAGTTTGGTTATTTTTTGAACAGACTTCATATTATTAAAGGCTGGAGCTAGAGTTATATTATATGGTTTTAATAGTTTTTTTACTTTTTCAAACAATGGGAATATAAGTATTCTATGTTAAATGTTCATTTATTCTTTACATTAGTTTTTTTATATTCATTTTATATTAATTTCTTATTGTTTTTAGTATTAAATACCATATTTATTCTCTATAAAGTGTGTTTTTTGTATGTATTTTGGAGTGTCTAGAATGAAGTAATTGGATTTACATTGATTCATGTGGAAATAATTGCCTTGGTTTTCATTGGTTTCATATTTTACCAATTGTTTTTGGACAGATTATTGATGAAAACCAAGGTATCACTGTAATTTCAGAATAGACAGTTAATGGTTTGATAAATAGTCAAACTTTGATTTAGCACAACTATTTTTTCATTTCTGAAATTGGCACTAAACTGAAATACTTTAAAGCAGTGGTTCCCAAACTTTTTGATTCTTGGTGCCATTGCTAAATTCAGATTTTCCCAAGGCACCCTATGTCAAATTCTAACAAGTATAATTTGCAAACAGCAAAATAGCCAATATCTTTTTGGAGTTAGGACATTAAGTAAAAAATAAATAAAACATATATTTAAGGTAACAAAAAATGTAATTGAATAAATTCAATTAATTATAATTAGTGGGATGGATGAACCTGTTGATCACTGCACATTTTCTCAAACCTTAGAATCAAACTGGACACAGCCACCCTCATTTCCTTCTCCACATTGATTTTCGTGCAATGCTTAGTTTTTATCACAGCGACAAACTCAGCTTCGCACAAATAAGAAGTCGCAAATGGAATTAAAATTCTCTGAGATTTACCACTCAAAAGAGGATATTCATCTTTTATTGATATCCAAAATTCAGTTAATTCCATTCTGCTAAATTTTGTTTTCAACGTATTGTCACAAGACAACTCAATAAGATTCTCTTCTTCTGCAGCAGTAAATTCAGATGGAGCACTGGCATTAAATGGATTTTGAATCCATGCAAATTTATCGATATTATCATTTTGAAAATACAAACCAGATGTGAATTTTGAAAATACAAACCAGCTGTGAAAACTGTTCTTCAAAAATAGAGTTCATACCTCAAGAGAAATCAACTCTATTGGAAGTCAAACACTGTTGCAACAAGGGGAACATCCTTTCCTCCATCTTCATTTATTTTTCTTTTCCATAGTTTTAATTTTTTTTTATAAAAGCTGAAATTTTCTCAATTGACTTTAAAGATGCATGTTGTTTCCCTGCAGGGAGACTCAGAGCATCGAGCTTTTCAAAAATATCACATAAGTATGCTAGTTTTACCAAAAAAATCTTAAATCACAAAATTTTTGGCATACTTGTGGTTGTCCTCTTTAAGAAAAACATAAATTTCCTGTCGCAGTTCAAATGTACGAGACAAAACATTATCTCGAGAGAGCTTTCACTCTCTCATGGTAATGTTTTGTGCTTTTTTGAAGTGCTGTAATATAACAAAGATGTGTGCTCGGATCCCATATGTTTGCATAGTTTTTGAAAAATCTTGCCTTCAACAGCCATTTTTATAAAGTTTACTACATGTACTACATATTTCTGGTTCAATGCAGGACTCAGATATTTTGATTTGAGTGCTTCTCTGTGAATAACACAATGGGTCCACAGTGCATAAGGGTCTTTGCTTCAAAAAAGTGCTTGCAATCCTCCATAACATCCAGATATAGAATGAGCATCATCAGTAAAGATGCCAATGCATTTGGTCCACTCCAAATTATTTTCGGAAATAAAAATATCAAGGATCTTAAACAAGTTGTGAGCCTTAGCACCATCAATGATACTCTCACAAAAGAGAAAGTCCTCTACAATGTCATTATTATCTATAAACTGTACATAGCAAATCAAGTGAGCATCATTATTATTATCTGTCTTCAACCAGCTGCAACCCAAGTTCCTTCCCTTCTATTTTTTCAATAACTGAACATTGGAGGTCCTTTGCTATGTGCTGTATTCTGCAACTGATAGTACTGTGTTATTGAACAAAGGCACTTTTGAAAGCTGCCCAGCATACCCACCAATCATAATGTTCACCATATCTACAGCAGCCGGTAGAATGAGTTTTTCTGCGATGGTAAGAGGCTTTTTACATTTTGCGATTCTATGTGCCACCTTTATTACTGAGTTAATGATTTGCATCATGTCTGCTAGATGTCGCATCTTATCACATTGAATTGAAAGTGGAAGTAAAATTATGAAAATTTTATAATATTTTGCAGTGCTCCTGTGAGGAAGCCAAGCTTCCTAGGATGTTGCAACACACACTTTGGAAACCGCTGCCTTAAAAAATAAGAATTATATACTATACAGTAATGAGGTCTACATATGAGTTTGAGAGTTTGAAAATCATATGATTTGTAATAATTTACAGATAGCAAACAAAGGTTTTTCTACTTAATATTTATGGGAAAAATTCATTCAGAAGTATTCATCAGCATTTTACAAAGTTAGTGATATTTAGGAGGCCACTGTATCATGGTTTCACTATGTAAAGCACAACAAAAAAGATAACATTCTACATGTTATCTCTTTTTCATTAATTTTAATGTAAATAAATAAATAAATAATGATGATAATAATAATAACATTTTTGAAGATATTACTTAGGTTGTAATAATTGAAAATAGATTGATTACACTTGGCAAACCATTTCTTAATTTACATAAGTAAAAATAGGAATAGCAAAAAATAATGATCAATTATAATTAAATTGATTGTGTCTTTTATTTTACTAGTTACATTTAATCAAAAAAATTATGCGTATGATATTAATTTCTTTCAACAAGCATGATGATTAATATGCATTCATAAAATAAAAAAATAAGTATTTAAATCAATATAGCATAGTAGAAATGAGCTATTTCCATAAATAAGAGTGTTATCCTAATATTAATTAATTAATGAAATTCCTAGAATATGAAATAAATGAATAAATTATACACAACTATTTGTATAATTTATATAAAGTAAAAGATATATAATTGGTAATATAGATTTTATACTAAATTTGTATTATTAACTCTTAACAGACAGTTTGTTCTGAAAATTTTTTTATATTATATTACATAAAAGACATAACAATAGAAAAAATTAAATTAAAAAAAAAATATTTGATGATAAATAATTTCAGTTGTAAATGCAGCAGACTATAGTTTTATATTCAATGAAATAATTTGATTATCTTCTAAGATTATTAAAATTATTTAATTATTAAACTGATTTATAAACTTAAGTACTGTACATGCTTATGCATTATAAGTTAATTATTTTTATTTTAAGAAATTATTCTTAACAGAAAAGTGATTAATATAGTTAATGTCTAATCAGATTAGAGTATAGAATATTATAGAATAATTCCTTTGAGTTGTAATATCCATGCTGTAAAATTTTACAATGAAGTCAAAGAAACAAGCTTCAAGCAAGATTTTGAAGTTAAAAGATTTCTAGTGAATCTATTATTTTATATCATTTAATTTTTACTTTTTCAAGTATTTTCATGTCTTATATAAGTTATATGACATTTAACATGTTAAATTATAGATTCTAAAAGAGATGCAAATATATTTGCAAATTACATAGATTAAAAATTTTTCATATTAAACTATAGAGTCAGATTATTTTAAGATAGAAGAAATTTGTTATTAAAAGTAGGAAGTATTGTCTAAATTTAGTATGAAATTAACCTTAAAATTAGCCGTAAAGTTTGTAATATAATCTGGTATTTTGTTTAATTTGGACCATGGTGACCAAACATTTCTTTAAATGCTAAAATTAATTAATTAGCAAAGAAAATTAGATACAAAAATAATTTTATTATTATTACTAAAAGGTTTATTATTTTATTCATAAACTTTAATATTATTTTTGAAAAAACTTAGTTTAAATTTAATTGTTTTTTTAATAATGTATTCATTTTTCAGGTTTTTGTCGGCCAATATATTTGTTCACTAAGGGAGTAACATCTCCAAGAGAAGAGTCAATAGAAAGTCAAGAAGGAAAATCAGCTAATTCTAAAAAAGAAACTGTGGATAAATGAGAGTTTGTATATAGGGTGTCAAGACAAAATTGTTCTAGCCATTTTCTCACTAAATTTTGGATTTACAGAAATTTTCAAGGTTTTTATGGCAGAAGAAAGACTTTTTCGTTAAACTTATTAAAAATTATGAAATTTTTAGAGTACATATTATAAACTTAATTAGATGATACCTGCTAAGGTCACTAAGAAACTTGTATGTGACAAAATAAAATTAACACTAGAAAAATGAAATCCAATTTTCATGAAATAATACAAGATCATCCAAAAATTAAATTTTTTATCATGATGACTTCAACAATAAAATCACATTGTGCTAAACTTCATTTTTTAGAATTATTTACTTGTTTTATAAAAATTGGATTTTCTCTTATGGTGTTAACTTAATTTGTCATGTACTGTCTTTCAATAAGAAACCAAATAAAGTGGATAAATAAATCAAATAATTTGAAACGAAAACTTTTGTAGTTTGGCTATAATTAGAAAATGTTTGTTTGTTGTAAATAATACTGGATTATAAAGGTTTTTGTTTCAAATTTTTAATTTTTCTAGTGGCCTTGGAAATGGTATATAAAAAAGGTAAAAATTTATCTTAAAATTTAGATTAATTTTTTTCTTTACTACAAGTTTAATGTAATATACAAAAATACAATTCTTTTTCCAAGAGAAAAACTTTTAAAATTTTCATAATCCTAATTAGCAAGAAATATCCCAGGATAATTTTATCTGGCACCTTATATAACTTGTACATTTTTACAGTCTTCACACAAAGGAGATTCTATCACCTGCTAACATTTCTTCACTGTGTGCCACTTAAAACAATTCATCTGTGATCCAATCACCTTGCTGTGTTGTATTTCACAATAGTTGGGATAATTTCCTTTTATAGCTGTTCATGCAAAATATAACATTTGACTTGGGTTAATTGTGAAATAAATTTTATTTAGAATGAATTACTTTGTCATTTTCAAGAATTTTAATATTCCTGTTATTTTTTTGCAAGATACACTTATTTATGATTTTTACACAGTAATGTTATGATAAAAATATATAATTTAACAAAATTTAGCATAATGTAAATTAATTTAAAATCTTCATTATATTTTAATCGTAAGAGTTTCTTGTATTTTTCAGTTTTCAAAATTATTTTCTTTTATTGTTTAAGTGAGAATTTAAATAAAAACATAGAAAATTTTAATTTATTTAACAGTTATTTGTGAAATTAAACACTCAAATGTTTATAATAGAAAAACATTCAATTTATTCAAGAATCTTTAATTAAATATATGAGGCATAGTTATCCAAATATAGTAAAACCTTCATTTAACAGACAAAATTACCTGTCTGTGTTATGTGTGAAAATTAACATCCTATTACTTTTAAATTGTTTTTTTATACCTAAACCTGCTAATTTAAATTAGCAGGTTTTTTCAAATCCAAGAATCATCTCTCATAAAGTGTATTTTCCATAAAAATGTTTGCTTATTTATTTCCATGTAGATCGTATACTTGTTTATTACAGTCTCATTTATTATTGCTTAAGTACTCACTCTCTTGAGTACTTAAGCAATAATAAATATAGAAAACTTTTCTGTGAAATTAAACTTCTCATACATACTTAAATTTAATTACACAAACGTATCTACATAAATAAAGACAGATAAACTAACTAATTTGTCAATTTTTTAATATATGCATTCTGAAAATCTACTTTATTGTATAATGAACTTTCACTTTAATGTACACCCCTCACCCGAATTAGTTCGTTAAATCGAGGTTTTATGTATTAACTTATATTGAATACAACAGTACTCATTATATATAAATTACAAATTAAATTATGGTAGTGTCACAGTTATTCATCCAGCTTTCTCTGTTATCTGGCAGTAGGTATTTTTTATTTTACATCAATCACTTTGAAAAAGCCTTTGATTGAAAAATTCATCTAGTTTAGAAGTAAGTGAAAACAATAAACAGTGATGTTTATCCTCTAAACATTTTATATCACAGAGACTTGTTTTTATGAAATTACAAGTTCACCATACCCATTACATGTATAAATCAGTTTTTATAGATATTTATTTTATTTTGAGTACCAATCTATTCCAAAATATAGCACACACGAATGGTTTTATATTATTTGGTATACTGTTATTCCTGTTTATGCAGGCTAATTAAAATTATTTTGTATATTTTTTTGTTTTATAACTAAAATGCATTTTAATATATGATATTAATGAAAGAAACAGGAAATACAAGTTAACTTTATCTTCAGGAAAACCAGATTTTGTTTTCTTATCACGTATTAGTGCATAATCTCATGTGATTTACAATGCATATTCTGTCAACTTCGTTTTGAAATAATAACCAATATAATTCTATGCACTGTAAGGAAAACTAAATGTTTTATTTATAGTTCACACAAATGTTTGTTAAAAATATAATTTAATAACAGTTATAATGCAAAAATTTGTTTTAAAATGTATTTAGATTGAAAGAAATTTTATATAAATGATAATTCAATCTTATCATAAATGTACAAATAGTAATTTTGTAAATCATTTATTATATATATAAAGAAGAAAACATGATTTTAGAATTGCAGTTTAAATTAATTATTACGATCATTGTGTTTTACAGGTTATTTCAGATCACTGGTACCCCATGTTTTTCTTTAAAACCATTCGGTGTAGAAGGTTGAATAAAAATTTTTTTAGTTGAGCATAAGAATTGACTGGCATTAATTGGGACCCAGTAGAAATAGGATCTATCGGGTCTGACTCTGAGTTTTCGTAATAGAACAGGGGCCGAGTTATGTATGGTTGAATAGAGATTTTCACAAGAAAACTTTAGAAAATTTTTTTAATCTCCTACCATTTACAAAATCAACGAAGGTTTTCTTTCGTTGTTTATGCAATAAACATTTAATACGTAGAAAATTTGTTATTGATTTGAACTGAGTTACAGATGTTCTCTATTTTGTTCTAAAAATTTTAGAAGCCTTTCTGGGAAAGTATCTTGTGCGTAAAGAATCTTGGAATCTGCATGCTATGCCTAATACATGTAGGAAACTAATACACAATACCTTTAATCCTCCTCCATAAGTATAAATAGTAGTCCATACACGTTAAATTGAGCGATATGATGGCCATTATACCGGGCCACTTTTTTTGATTCACCTGTGAAGAAACTCTTCAAGAATTTGGAGGACAATTCAGACAGAATGTTGTGCTAGGAAACTACATTGTCTGTCAAACCCCCAGTGAAGCACAGTACAGTACCTTCCAGAAGTTCTTAAAATATAATAACTAGAATATTTGCATAAAATTGTCCATTTAAAGGCATTAAAAATATTAATAATCGTTTATTTGATCTCCAACGATACCGTAATATATATGAATGCTCCAGATAACATTTATTATGTAAATGCAGAAGCTGCCTTACATAGGCGAAAAAGGCAACGTCTAGAGCCTCACAAATTTGGTGGTATATTTTAGTATTTGAATCGCCAAATTGGTAATTATGAAAATATAATTGTACCAGTATCTATGCATCTGCCCAACGATCATTTTTAAAGCTGAAATTGATCAAGAATACCTCCAATCAACAATCCAATCTTGTCCATGGAAAGAGATATTGCTGCAGAACTGGATATTTTCTGTGATTAACTGCTTTCATGCTGCTGAAAAGCAGGAGAGCAGTTTTATAGTTGAATTTCTACACATCTATTGAATTTTTGTATACATTTTTATTACTTTAATGTGGTTTTATTGTGTTTCTAAATTTAAAATGTTCAAATTATTGTAACCTAACTAATTCTATCTTCTATCTTCAGCGCTCTTTTAATGGGCCTCGGAGATATATATGGTCTAGGGCAGGGGTGGCGAACCTATGGCACGCGTGCCCAAAGTGGCACGTAAGGAGAAATCATCTGGCACGTAATGTATCATACGATTTCTGTCTTTTTCAATCATCTTTTCCGTTTATCACCTGATCATCCTTTTTTCAATCAGCTTATTTACATTTATTCTAATTAAAGCGTATTCGTTTAATTTCTTTAAATATCGTTATTCGAAGTCTGAAATTTTGACACGCATAAAAATCTTTAAAGCTAAGGATGCTTACAATATGGCACGCTAACACAAAAAGGTTCTCCAACCCTGGTCTAGGGCCACCTTTGTGTAAATATGATTAGTAAATAGGAAAATGAAAGTTTGGTTTATTTTGTAAAGATGCAAACGGTGACAGACAATGATAATTTTTTTCAAAACAAAGTTGTTTCTTATAAAAACAAAAGCTCTATTCAACGATACCTAACTCGAATCTTGTTGCTGTAAACAAATTCAGAATCAGGCTCGGTTAGTCCTATTTTTGATGGGTCCCGATTGACGCTGATGTCGCCAATCGAGTTTATATGGGCTTTGACTATAAAAACAGGAAAAAAATTTCCAACCTTTTATGACGAACGTTTTTCGACATGTACGGGTGATCTGAAACACCTTGTATACTGTAATGTCTGGAGACGAATTAATGTTTTCTTTTCATAAAATAAGTAAATATTAAAAAAAGAATTGTCAACTATTTTAAATTTTAAGTGAAATTCGATATCCTGATTTTTGTATATAAGGGAACAAATAAATTTTATATGATATCTTGATAGTTTTTTCCAAATCTCGAAGGAAACTGAAAAAATATAAAATGAACAATTTATTTTTTACCTTCGACTTATATACTTTTTGAAAGATAAAAGATTATTAGAAAGAATGAAATCATTCTGATAGATAAAATTTATTGAAATATATTTTTCCAGAATTTCATTCTAAGCATTTTGAATTATTAAGATCTCATAATGCAAACTTTGATAGTTGTCAATACTGTAATATCTGAAAATAAATACTATCAACATATACAAAATATTCCATATATAAATATATAGAATCAGTTAATCATGATGAAATTAATATGCCTATCGAAAAATAGAATTCTTGAAAAAAGAAAAACTCAATGGAAGTAAGTGATCTTAAATTTAGAGAAAAAGTATAGAATAAAACCAAGTAATATGAATAGTTAAAATATTTTATTTTTCAGACAATTATCAAAGATTTTATAAATGAAAACGAATGTATAAGTGATTGGTATTGTGGATTGTGCGCGAAGATGTCACCCAGCACTGAAGCTACATAATATATATTTTTTATTTACGGTCTAAAAGGCCCATAAATGATAAATATATTTTAACATAATTCAAATTTGCTAAAAGTATAATTTATTGAGAAAGTAATATTAAAGAAAATCGTCATGAAATAATTATTTCTTGAATATTCCTCCTCCCTATTAAATTTAATCTCCCATAAATAAATCTTTTAAATTTTGCTTCAGGATTTAGTGGAATTTATATTATGATAATTCAAAATTTTATTCCTTAGTGAAATTTTGCATTGAGTTTTTTAAATTATATTAACATAATGAAATTATTATAGAATCATATTCTGAACACACGTAAAATAAATTATCTCTTATCAGAAAGTCAAAGGAATTTAAACTTTAGATTTCTAGGAGTGAGAGAATATATCTTTTAAATCAATTATAGAAAACCTGAGAATTAAAATATGTACAAGTATATATATATACGTTCTAATGAAGTGGAACCCCGCTTTTACGTCCAGGCCCGCCAAGAGCATGTTTGGGGGCCCGAGGGATAGAACGGATCCCTCTCCACTGTAGCGGCTCTAAAAGAAGAAGAAAAAAGAAATATATGGAATGTTTCTGTTAATAAAAAGTTAAAGATTTTCTTTTTTGAAGTAAAAATAACATTAATTTATAGGAACCATTAAGGACCCTTAAGTTTTTTCCGGGCCCGAGAAAAAATTCCCAGCTCCTCTCTTGACGGCTCTGTTTACGTCCATTACAATGAAAACGCGGGAGCCCTCACAAAATACTGTAGAACCCCGCTTTTACTTCCAAGAGGTTGTAAAAGTGAGCTTCTGTACTCGGTAAGGATTTTAATAAGTAAAATTAAGAATATTTAATTGAATAATGAATATATTTGAAGTAATATAAAATGTTTTCTTAAAAGTTTGATTTGATGATAGCCTTTTACTCAAACAAACTTTAATGACAAGTGTGATTAATATTTTAATCACTATTTATAACAGATAAAAAAATAAAAGTGATCTACATAATTTTTTACCAGTATTTCTAATACAAGAAGAATCGAATGCATGAAACTATGCCAAATCTAGATAAAGGAAAATCTTGCACCCAAAGCAAAATAAAATCTTAAGAAATTGTAATTTATGTAGGCTGTATATTTTAACCGAATCTATTCTTTTGTAATTCTAATAAGTCATTAAAAGTCTGAGTTCATTTTCAAACAACAAATGCTATCTAACAAACTGGTCATTTTCTTGAATTGATATAATTTCCTTTCTTTAACATTGTAAATTTTTATTAAAAATAAATTATGTCCTATTGAACCCGATAAATTTATGATAAAATCACGAATTATTCTTTTCTGAATTATCATATAAACACTGTTTTTACAGTTGATCAATCCCTATTACAAGGAGGAGGAATCGGAACCATTTGCAAGATTAAAGTTAAACTTATTGAGGCCCTAAATTGTAATGTATAAGGAGCCCTTTGCTTCTACTAGATTATAATAAATTTAAAAGTGTGTGCCTCTTAAACTACAGCTTATTTAAGTTAACTTATATGTATTAATAAATCTGTCCTGTGGGATCTCGTATTTACCGGTCTCAAAAACATTTTTTTTGTTTACAAATTATTCATTCCGTTTCATTTCTTGGTATTAATAAGTAAAATATGACAAAAAATAAAATTTTTAGAGCTGTTTTGTTTGGATTTTTTTACTATACTGTATTGGGCCTCAAAAAGAACAGTGGTGTGGGCCTCTTTTGACTTCTGTAATTACGGTCAATTTTCTACAAATGCCAGAATAAATTAATTTCATATATTTCTCTAATTTTAACATTTATAATACATTTATTAAAATTATATATCTAATTTTAATTTTATTGATTAATTCAATACATCTAAAATTTCACAATTTTAAATTAGAACAGGATTATTTACATCTGGTTAAGTGAAAAAAAATTTTTTATGGAGAAAATAGAAAGATAAAATACTATAAATATATATTTATATACACGGAGGTCAAATATAATTCTAAATGTAGGAAATGTCGTACAGAAATATTAAATATCGTATAAATTTATATGTAAACATGTTACACAAATTTTGAATATGTTCCAACAACTAAACTGCTACAGGCAATGTAACGTATATAAATCAGTGTTAATGAAGTTACCTCTTACGATTGAGAAAGCTCTTATTTACGCCCTTCAACAAAAAATTTTTTAAATGTATTTAGAGTTTATAATTTAATTTAAAAAAGAAAAAAAAGTACGTCGAGAAAATTATAACATTTTTTTTTTTAATTGTTAAAATAATATTGATTATAAATTAAGAACTGAGCTTAAAGTGTGTGTAAATCTCTTTATAAAGTGACATTTATTTCGTTAAAAAAATTAATTATCCGGAATATTAATGTGAAATTTTGTTTATATTTTAAAATTATGTGGTAATTTTTATAAGTAACTGTCATTGATATGACAGCAGTTGACTAGTGACTAATTTTAAACTGTTATTAAAATCAATCTGACCAATTGACATTTGTTCAGACAGCCTGATGGATTGATCGATACTGATAGCGTTTTCTACGTTAAAAAAAGAAAAATGATACTGATATAATTCAGAAATGTACAGTTTATTTTTTCAAACATTTTACAGAAACTCTATAAAGCGATACAAAACCGGTCTATGGAATAATTATGTTATTATACATTACTATAAAAAGAAAAAAAAAAAAACAACAAATGAGGACGACTACTTTTGAGCAGTAGGAAACGAGATAATTTATGAGTTTAAGTATTGCTTACTTTTTTTGATGAGATAATGCCTGAATTCAATGGATACATCCATTACACGATCAGAGTTAAAGCTATTTACAGCTCAGTAATAACGATTGTGCACAAGATATGTCTTTAGAATTATATAGATTATACAGCAAAAATATTAACATGATCTAAAATACAAATTTCAATAATCAAATTATGTTTTTTTTTATATATATATAATAAAATTCAAATATTTTCATTCTTACAATTTTTTCTTTTATAATGCATTTAACTTAAGATAAAAATATGCCTGATATTATTTTAACACAGGCTTAAGTTTTGATGTATGTATAATAAATAATTACATTATATTTTAAAACGAGAAAAAATATATTATACATACAGTATAGTCGAGTGACACTCGATATAGTGAATGATTTAGCTCACGAATCAGTCCTTTCAGACTTCACTACTGTATATCTAGAATCTAATGTATAATACAAGGTGTCTCAAAACTATATATACACACTTTCATACATATTTTGTTTTTAAGTAAAAATCTTATCATTTTTGGAGCTAATTTTTAACTGTTTGCTTCTTTACACATTCTCAATAGTACATTTCTTTATTGCCTATTTATCTAGCAAATAATTGAAGAGTGTTTGCAACAATCTAGACAGACTTTCATACCATTTATTCAAGAATACTAATAATACACGAACACCAACGGTGCACTATTTGGAAAATGTGTCCTAAAGGTGCATAAATAAGGCTATACAATAACTGAGCTATATAATTCATACTTCTCTATAAAATTTAAAAAAATGTACTATTCATCAGCATCAAAGTGTATACGTACTTTTTGAGACATCTTTTATATAAAAATGTTAAAACCTGTCCACGAAAATCTTTCAGAAATTGAGTGGCTATGTTTAATTTCCAGACATTTATTATTTATCCCAAAGAAAATCGAGTTATTTCTAAATGGTAAGAAGTAAAATTTGAAAATTAAATTTTCTTAACTTTGTTTAAAAGGTGAACGTTTTATAAAACTTTAATTTTAAAATCTAGGATTTGCACACCCCTAGCACGTCTTTCTTTTATACACTTTAAATATCACATATACAAAAATAGGCGTAAATAATTTTAAGAAGTAATAATATATAATTAAATTTAAAAAAATGAAATATATTTAACAAAAATAAATACATACGGAGTGATCCAAAAATCAGTTAACCGTTGTAAAGACTAAATTTGTCTTATCAAATGCTTTATTACTCACAAAATTTACAAAAATTGTTGAAAATGATATACTTTCCGTTCAATACACAAAATTATAATGCTTTATCACTTTGCCACAGTTAACTGACTTTTAGGCCATCCAGAATACCAATGTATATAAATATTGGTATTCTGACATTCAGTAACTAAATTAATGAGATAGGTAAATATAAAAGAAATTATATATATATAATATACACACAGTTATTAATAATTCACAAGGAGTTGTATCAATAAGCCCAAATATATATATTTTTTTGTTAAAAGCAATTTTTTAATTTTTTTTTTTAAAGTTCTATTTAAAAAGGATAATCTTTGTTTTTCACACGTGCTAATAAAATTAATAACTTATATTCATTGAAAACATATATTTTTATACATAAATATACACATATATATGTAGGCCTATATACAATGTAAAATACTACATTTCCATGCCTTTGTACAGTTTATTATTTTGTTATTTTTTAAATTTAATTCTTATAAATATCGTTGTATTAAACTTTTAAATGCTCAATAAATGTTATAGTCGGTTGGAATTATAAATATTTGAATTTTATCGTTAAATAACTTCCATTTTACAGTAATTTTTGGCGTAATCTTCAACTCTATTTGAAAAAATAACCTACTTGATGTTTATATATTTTTTTAAAGCAATTTTAATTTTATTTTTTAAGGTTTTTACTATTTAAAAAGATAATTTTTTTTAACATATAAAGCTAAATTAATAACTTATACTAATTAAAAACGTTACATTAAAGCTTCTCTACAGTTTACATATATTAAATTATTAATTTAAATTTCTCAAATTGCTTTAATTTATAATTTAGTAAGGTTAGTTAAATATATCTCAGTTGTTATTATTTTTTTTCCTGTTAAAATTTATGGAAGAACAGTATGGCAGCAAATTATATCTACAACTATTAATTGTAGGCTGCAGCTTAGGGCCTGGCATTATTAACCTACAACTTAAGGCTTCACATTTCTATGTCAATATTTGGTAGAGGGGAAGGGCCTCTTATATGTTATAGTTTAGTGCCATAAGTCTAAGTCTAATCTTCATTGTAATTACTTTAAATTCATTTTTTACATCCATTCTGTCTGAAAATTTTAAAATAAATTATTAATTTTTGTTTTAATTTTAAAAATTTCAATCCTGAAACGAATTATATGAAATTATCGAAATCTAGGACAATGTAATTTTGTTAAGAAAGTAAATTATTAAACAAAATTTCTATAAATTCAATTATAAAAATTTAAAATTTCGTTTTAAAATGTAATAAAATATTAACTAAACAAGATAAAATTTTAAAAAAAAATCTCTGTAAATAAATTTATTTTAAAATTTTATACATTACTGTTATTATTATTATAAAAAAATATTAAGAATTTAAACCTAATAAGAAAATATAGAGTAAAGAATCTTATTAAGAAATTAGTTTATAACAATAAATTTTAAACCATTTGTAGCATTGTCAATGTAGTTTTATATATTAAATTAATTTTAAAATTGTTATGAAAAATAAATTAAAGATAAGTATTTACAGCTAGATCCGGATATAATTTAATATTCTGATAAATTACATGTCAGGAGATCTAATGTTTCTTATTTTTCCTGTTTATTTCTTACAAATTACTTGTTTTCTCGAGTATATTGGAACGACTTTTTACTATATTATTTATTCATAAAATCGCATATAACTTATTGAATTATTTATGTACATATTCTGAAAATACTGTGTATTAGAATATACATCTAAGTCCATCTCAATATTGGAGAAAAAATGTTTTTTATCCAAAAAAAGAAAAATGCGAAATTATTATTGCTTTTGTCGTGTAGAATTGTTTCAGAATGTTATTTAATTCCTCTTATACGTATAAGTAAGTTACAATAGAGAATTTACAACTAACTTATAAACAATTCTTTTACAATCTAAGGGATGCGAGTTATTCCGAAAATTACGGTAAATTTTGCTATTTAACTATACAAAAATTCTCAAATGATTTTTTATGATTATGATTAAAAATAAACAATGTATTAAATTTAACAATATTAACTATTGATAAGTAGGTTCTAATCTCCAAAGTAGAACTCCGTCTGAACCGGTTGAAACTAAATATTTATCTTCTGCTAGAAAACGAACCGAAGTGATTTCAAAACTTCCATGATTTTGTTCGTAACAGGCAGCCTGGATCAAAATCAAAAGTATAATTTTTGGTTTAAAAATCTACGTATTATTATAAGAATATATGTTAAAATCTTATTTACCTTAGAATCTGTACAGGGATATTTAAAAAGGCGAACAAATCCCATTCTATCTCCAACNTTATAAAACTTTAATTTTAAAATCTAGGATTTGCACACCCCTAGCACGTCTTTCTTTTATACACTTTAAATATCACATATACAAAAATAGGCGTAAATAATTTTAAGAAGTAATAATATATAATTAAATTTAAAAAAATGAAATATATTTAACAAAAATAAATACATACGGAGTGATCCAAAAATCAGTTAACCGTTGTAAAGACTAAATTTGTCTTATCAAATGCTTTATTACTCACAAAATTTACAAAAATTGTTGAAAATGATATACTTTCCGTTCAATACACAAAATTATAATGCTTTATCACTTTGCCACAGTTAACTGACTTTTAGGCCATCCAGAATACCAATGTATATAAATATTGGTATTCTGACATTCAGTAACTAAATTAATGAGATAGGTAAATATAAAAGAAATTATATATATATAATATACACACAGTTATTAATAATTCACAAGGAGTTGTATCAATAAGCCCAAATATATATATTTTTTTGTTAAAAGCAATTTTTTAATTTTTTTTTAAAAGTTCTATTTAAAAAGGATAATCTTTGTTTTTCACACGTGCTAATAAAATTAATAACTTATATTCATTGAAAACATATATTTTTATACATAAATATACACATATATATGTAGGCCTATATACAATGTAAAATACTACATTTCCATGCCTTTGTACAGTTTATTATTTTGTTATTTTTTAAATTTAATTCTTATAAATATCGTTGTATTAAACTTTTAAATGCTCAATAAATGTTATAGTCGGTTGGAATTATAAATATTTGAATTTTATCGTTAAATAACTTCCATTTTACAGTAATTTTTGGCGTAATCTTCAACTCTATTTGAAAAAATAACCTACTTGATGTTTATATATTTTTTTAAAGCAATTTTAATTTTATTTTTTAAGGTTTTTACTATTTAAAAAGATAATTTTTTTTAACATATAAAGCTAAATTAATAACTTATACTAATTAAAAACGTTACATTAAAGCTTCTCTACAGTTTACATATATTAAATTATTAATTTAAATTTCTCAAATTGCTTTAATTTATAATTTAGTAAGGTTAGTTAAATATATCTCAGTTGTTATTATTTTTTTTCCTGTTAAAATTTATGGAAGAACAGTATGGCAGCAAATTATATCTACAACTATTAATTGTAGGCTGCAGCTTAGGGCCTGGCATTATTAACCTACAACTTAAGGCTTCACATTTCTATGTCAATATTTGGTAGAGGGGAAGGGCCTCTTATATGTTATAGTTTAGTGCCATAAGTCTAAGTCTAATCTTCATTGTAATTACTTTAAATTCATTTTTTACATCCATTCTGTCTGAAAATTTTAAAATAAATTATTAATTTTTGTTTTAATTTTAAAAATTTCAATCCTGAAACGAATTATATGAAATTATCGAAATCTAGGACAATGTAATTTTGTTAAGAAAGTAAATTATTAAACAAAATTTCTATAAATTCAATTATAAAAATTTAAAATTTCGTTTTAAAATGTAATAAAATATTAACTAAACAAGATAAAATTTTAAAAAAAAATCTCTGTAAATAAATTTATTTTAAAATTTTATACATTACTGTTATTATTATTATAAAAAAATATTAAGAATTTAAACCTAATAAGAAAATATAGAGTAAAGAATCTTATTAAGAAATTAGTTTATAACAATAAATTTTAAACCATTTGTAGCATTGTCAATGTAGTTTTATATATTAAATTAATTTTAAAATTGTTATGAAAAATAAATTAAAGATAAGTATTTACAGCTAGATCCGGATATAATTTAATATTCTGATAAATTACATGTCAGGAGATCTAATGTTTCTTATTTTTCCTGTTTATTTCTTACAAATTACTTGTTTTCTCGAGTATATTGGAACGACTTTTTACTATATTATTTATTCATAAAATCGCATATAACTTATTGAATTATTTATGTACATATTCTGAAAATACTGTGTATTAGAATATACATCTAAGTCCATCTCAATATTGGAGAAAAAATGTTTTTTATCCAAAAAAAGAAAAATGCGAAATTATTATTGCTTTTGTCGTGTAGAATTGTTTCAGAATGTTATTTAATTCCTCTTATACGTATAAGTAAGTTACAATAGAGAATTTACAACTAACTTATAAACAATTCTTTTACAATCTAAGGGATGCGAGTTATTCCGAAAATTACGGTAAATTTTGCTATTTAACTATACAAAAATTCTCAAATGATTTTTTATGATTATGATTAAAANTTTTTTTTAAAAGTTCTATTTAAAAAGGATAATCTTTGTTTTTCACACGTGCTAATAAAATTAATAACTTATATTCATTGAAAACATATATTTTTATACATAAATATACACATATATATGTAGGCCTATATACAATGTAAAATACTACATTTCCATGCCTTTGTACAGTTTATTATTTTGTTATTTTTTAAATTTAATTCTTATAAATATCGTTGTATTAAACTTTTAAATGCTCAATAAATGTTATAGTCGGTTGGAATTATAAATATTTGAATTTTATCGTTAAATAACTTCCATTTTACAGTAATTTTTGGCGTAATCTTCAACTCTATTTGAAAAAATAACCTACTTGATGTTTATATATTTTTTTAAAGCAATTTTAATTTTATTTTTTAAGGTTTTTACTATTTAAAAAGATAATTTTTTTTAACATATAAAGCTAAATTAATAACTTATACTAATTAAAAACGTTACATTAAAGCTTCTCTACAGTTTACATATATTAAATTATTAATTTAAATTTCTCAAATTGCTTTAATTTATAATTTAGTAAGGTTAGTTAAATATATCTCAGTTGTTATTATTTTTTTTCCTGTTAAAATTTATGGAAGAACAGTATGGCAGCAAATTATATCTACAACTATTAATTGTAGGCTGCAGCTTAGGGCCTGGCATTATTAACCTACAACTTAAGGCTTCACATTTCTATGTCAATATTTGGTAGAGGGGAAGGGCCTCTTATATGTTATAGTTTAGTGCCATAAGTCTAAGTCTAATCTTCATTGTAATTACTTTAAATTCATTTTTTACATCCATTCTGTCTGAAAATTTTAAAATAAATTATTAATTTTTGTTTTAATTTTAAAAATTTCAATCCTGAAACGAATTATATGAAATTATCGAAATCTAGGACAATGTAATTTTGTTAAGAAAGTAAATTATTAAACAAAATTTCTATAAATTCAATTATAAAAATTTAAAATTTCGTTTTAAAATGTAATAAAATATTAACTAAACAAGATAAAATTTTAAAAAAAAATCTCTGTAAATAAATTTATTTTAAAATTTTATACATTACTGTTATTATTATTATAAAAAAATATTAAGAATTTAAACCTAATAAGAAAATATAGAGTAAAGAATCTTATTAAGAAATTAGTTTATAACAATAAATTTTAAACCATTTGTAGCATTGTCAATGTAGTTTTATATATTAAATTAATTTTAAAATTGTTATGAAAAATAAATTAAAGATAAGTATTTACAGCTAGATCCGGATATAATTTAATATTCTGATAAATTACATGTCAGGAGATCTAATGTTTCTTATTTTTCCTGTTTATTTCTTACAAATTACTTGTTTTCTCGAGTATATTGGAACGACTTTTTACTATATTATTTATTCATAAAATCGCATATAACTTATTGAATTATTTATGTACATATTCTGAAAATACTGTGTATTAGAATATACATCTAAGTCCATCTCAATATTGGAGAAAAAATGTTTTTTATCCAAAAAAAGAAAAATGCGAAATTATTATTGCTTTTGTCGTGTAGAATTGTTTCAGAATGTTATTTAATTCCTCTTATACGTATAAGTAAGTTACAATAGAGAATTTACAACTAACTTATAAACAATTCTTTTACAATCTAAGGGATGCGAGTTATTCCGAAAATTACGGTAAATTTTGCTATTTAACTATACAAAAATTCTCAAATGATTTTTTATGATTATGATTAAAAATAAACAATGTATTAAATTTAACAATATTAACTATTGATAAGTAGGTTCTAATCTCCAAAGTAGAACTCCGTCTGAACCGGTTGAAACTAAATATTTATCTTCTGCTAGAAAACGAACCGAAGTGATTTCAAAACTTCCATGATTTTGTTCGTAACAGGCAGCCTGGATCAAAATCAAAAGTATAATTTTTGGTTTAAAAATCTACGTATTATTATAAGAATATATGTTAAAATCTTATTTACCTTAGAATCTGTACAGGGATATTTAAAAAGGCGAACAAATCCCATTCTATCTCCAACGGCCAGCAAATCTTTTGAATTTGATCGATGACAACTTACATTGATGACATTTTTAAAGTACTGATTTGTCCATATGCCTATGAATTATATATAAAAGTAATAAATAATAAAAGTTAAATATCTTTCAGCATAATATTATGCTTAAAATAATTTCATTATTCTTTCCTCATAAGCAGATACTTTTTAATGCCACATAATAATAGTAAAAGGGAAAATATTATAATTTCTAGTAGGGGAGATCAGGGCAAGATCGGCATGTTAAGCTTTACTTAAATTTTGTGTAATAAATACTGCAGTAAACTGAAAAAAAAAAGCTTTGCATATTGTCTATTGGAATGTTACCTTACTATAGAACTGGTTAAAATCAGTTTGGAAATAAAAATAATTAAAATAATTACAACTTTACAAGAAGAGAGAAATTGACGAAGTTGCCCCGGGTATAGGGGCAAGATCGGCAACTTCTCTCTTTTTGTAAAGTTGTAATTATTTTAATTATTTTTATTAAAGTTGCCCCTGGTATAGGGGCAACAGTAATGGGGCAAGATAGGCACGTATATAAAATTATGTTATTAACAATGTATAAGTTGGAATTCACTATTAAAACAAAGAAATACAAATCCAACACCCATTTAATATTATTACAACGAAATGCAAGTTCAAAGACATATATACATGAATAACAAATGCAAACATGTTTTCATTTATCATCTGTTTGATTTTTATCCTTTGCTTCTAATGTGGCTTTATGTTGCCGATCTTACCCCGCTAGTCATGATTTCGAAACATTAAGTACAACCCTGAGAACAGAATGCCAAGCCACGATCTGGCCACGTGAATAAGTTGAAGTTACATCCTTCTAACAGGAAAAGTAACTTTCGTTATCATGGAATTATAACAAAACCTGCCAATTCAATATAAATGGAAAAAAAATATTATATGGAATTGAACGAAAATGAAAATTTGCTTGATAATTCAACTACGCTTGTTGGAGAACAATAAAAACACTACACTCAACAAGCCACCAATAAAACTCAACTGCCTAACCTATAACCAAAGTCTCCTTTTAATTTGTTTTTAAAAAAAAGCGCTTGACAAACTTGCCCCGCCTGCCGAAGTTGCCCCGATCTCCCCTATACAACATATAATAATATTTAACGTATTAAATACTGTTTATGAATAGAAATTATAAGTCATTTTTCCATTTAATTACTATAATTTACTGAAACTACTCATATTGTTTTGTATAATTATAAGTAAAATGAAATTATAGTTGAAGCTATACAGAAAAAAGAATTGATGTGGTAAGGGAAATATAATGAAAGATTTCCAGAAATCGACATGGAGGTAAAGAATAAGGGAGGAAGAGGAATGACCGAGAAGAGGATGTAAACAGAGCAATAACGGATAGGGATTGAAAGAAGAATGATGTTTGACAGGAGAAAATCTCTGTGGATCGAAAGGTATCGTCAGACCCTAAAAACCGATGATAAATACTATAGTTAGATAATTGTATATGAAATCTCACTAAAGAACTTAGAGAATGACACTTCATATGAATTTTTACTTAACTGAGTTATTGATTTTAAAGTCATTTGGTATTCACGTTAAACACTGACCAAAGTCAGTGTTTAAGTGAAAAAACAAAGATATTTCGCTATAAAAATTCATAAAAGTCAATGTAAATAATTTTTATTTTAAAATGTCACTAAAGAAAAATTCTCCAAGAATTTCTTATATTTAATATTGGTTGTATTTAAATTTTAAAATATCATTATTCAATATTCGTAGCATAAATAATTGAATACTACCAAACACACTATGTCCTAAGGTACAAGTTATTTCTTCCCATTCTATATGTTCCGCTTCGGACATGTCACTCAAAGCATTCATAGTCTTCACATTCCCTAAAAAATTTCAAATTATTTTTAAAATAAAATCTTATAATTAATTTCAATTTACTATTCTGATACATACATATGACTAATTCGTGATATTCATCATTGCTTACAACAGTTTGTATATATTGTCCATTCCTTGCCCAATCTAAAATTAATATTGGATGTAATCCCTGCATAAGAAAATTCGAGGAATTTATATTATACATTCTTATTCAAAAATTTAAAGTTTTTAAAAATATTTTAAAGTCTTTTAAAGAAAACCAAAACATTATTTTACCTTCATTATACCTCCTTTTGAATATTTGCATCCATCGTTTTGTGCTAAGTATAAGTAAATATTGCCATCTTCAGCTCCAATTGCTAAAAGTGATCCGTCTAAAAATATAAAAATACTTTTTAATTTAATTATTATTTGAAAATTTTAATCACATCCATGCAAGATTTCATTCAAGATTTCAGATTTGGTTCTATTTTGGAAGTGTACATTTTAAAATTTATTATATCAATGTTACAATTAGCATATAAAATATGAAAATAGTAATATCATAATCTATTCTGAATTATTAAAAATTTTTATAATTTTAGTTTATCCTATGAACAAAAAGGGCAATTGCATGGGGCCTCCGCCAACAGCAGGCCCCAAACCAATCTTTTGTAAAAAAATATTTTCCTCAAAAAATTCCCTCGAAGAAATATGTCTGAACATCAACACTATCTACACACGAGGCCCCTAATTCAAATTTGTCTGGGCCCCCATGAAGCTATCACGCTCCACTGATGAATATAAGATTTTAGATTATTTCAGATGAATTGTTATAAAATTTATGAGTAAAAACAAGTTTGTATTATTAATAATGAATTAATTTAATAACTTAATACTCTTTTAAATATTGTTTCTATTAATATAAAGAATAATTACAAAAGAAATACGATTGGTGGTGAAGTAAGTTTATTGTATCTCTCTGCTGAGTGCACTGTTTATGAAATAGGATTGTTTTGAAAATCCAATAAATTCCACAAGATGTTGACTGATGCAATTCCTAAAAATCTCGAATCATGGAACAAACCTTGTATGATTCAACATACTATATTCAAATAGCTTATCTTGGGGCTAATTGTCAAATTTAAAATTCAACAACAATTTTGTTATTATATATTCAGTTATAAAAGTCGACATTGTACAAAATAATTAAAGAAGACAATGAACAGTCTTAGTTAATTTGATAAAATACTAGTTTGAGTCAGTTTAATAGGCATATTCATTGTTTTCTATCAAATTAAATAATAAGGAAGTTAAGACATCAACGAATCTTTATCAATTATACAATTTTAATATTTTACGTTGTTTATTATAGATAAATTTTATTAAAAACGGGTGTATTTCATTACATAGAATGTGATATTTAGCAATAGATATCACTTCATTTTTTTCAGGTTTGTAAAATGTAATTTGGAGAATTTTTTTTAATTCTCTAAATTTGTGGTATTAAAATGTTTTAGTTTCAACCATAATATATGACAGTAAATCATTATGATAATTTTAATTTTTATTTTAAGAATTACGAGCCAATAACTTATAAAAAATCATTTGAAGATTCTAGGATGGAAAGGAATTCTATAAAACTAAAAGGGATGAGAATTTAGTTTCATAGTTTTCCATTAAAAAATTTCTATGAAACTAAAAGGAATAATTACTGTAACATTTGTAATGAAATAAATGGTGTAGGATAAATGTATCATTCATTTGTTTATGTTTTTTTATATGATAAATGTGTTTAACCATTTCTTAACTTGAACTTTCTATTCGAATAAGTTTACCGTGACTACGGGTAATCTGGAGGAAAAGCTATATAAATATTAAAGATAAATATATATATTGTTTATCGAACGTAAAAAAATAATTTTTGTTAACTTAAAACTATAAATAATATTTATATCTGATTTTTTCACAATATAAAATATATTTCTACCATTATTTTGACTGCCATTTCTGTCATTTTTGTTGCTACTTCTAAAATTTATTAACTATTATCTACGAAACCGAAAAAAAAAACAAATGAAAAAAGAGAAAAGCCATTAGTTTATTGTGAAACAGAATTTCTAGCTATATTTTTTATATTATTAAGAATTTTATTTATAATTTAATTATAATATTCATCGCAAAGAAAATCAAAGAAAAATTCAAATAAGCAAACTAAATGGGCTTAAAAATTAAAAAAAAGATCAGTTTTATCTGTTAAAATATGTTATTGAAAGTTTTAAATAGTTTATAGAGTATTTGGGTCATATATTAACCAAAAATACATTATTTTCATTAATATTTTATGTAACACGTAATAAAGTCAAGAAAACTTTATACACTTGAAGCAAGAATAACGTTTTCAGTTCTTAAAATATAAACATTAATACATGAAAAAAGACCTCACCTGGAGAAAATGCCATCGTATTTAAAGAACTTTTGGAGACAGAAAACCTAGTTATTTGATCACCATTTTCTAAATTTAAAACGACTACGTTCCCCGTGGCTTCTCCGACTGCGACAACAGTACTCTCTGGATGTATGGCAAGGGAAAAGCAGTTTGACTAATAAAATTATTGCAATTATTACAACTTTAATAACTATATACATTTGATTTTGTTAAATATATACTTACGACATTTAGCACCTTCCATAATAAACTATCTTTATCCCATTTGCAAATGATATTGTCTATGCCTGCTGTTACGTATTCCGTGTCGTAAGGATCTACAGCTAAGGCACGTATTTCTTCTTGATGACCCTACATTAGAGATTTATAATGAAAATTCTCATACAGTTTTCATTGGAAAGTAATATTTCGCTTCGAATTAGTAATATTTACGTGAATAATAGTTGTAAATGTTCCCTGTAAAGAACCCTCCAGGATAATATTTTGAGATGTTCCCAAATAAAATGTCCCTTGATAAGTTTCTAGAGCTGATGGACATAATGACTTTACTTCACCAGTTTCTGGAGGAAGCTGGAAACAAATAAATTATAGAGGAATTTAAATAAAAATTTAATAATGTATTATTTAGTATTTTTATTATTTTAATGCAATTTTAAAACTTACTCTAGCAGTCATATATTTTGATAATTTATCATTAAGATTCCAGATACTTATCTCTCCTTCTTTTCGTGCGCTACTTCCAGTTACTAACAGTTCGCCAGGTAGAAGTAAAATTGTATTTACATTATTCTGAAAGATATGAACGAAAGCGTGAAAATAATAAGAATTGATTAATGGAACTATAAAAATATATTGCATTATATTCATTACAATTGCTCGTATACAGTGGTATATGTGCAATTATAATGAATTGTTCATATATTAGAGTGATAAGAGCATTCTGAACATAACACGTGCTATAAATATGTTATAAATTTATTTAAATCCTAATAGTAACAGGCTAAGAAGTTCGTGAATTAAAAATAGTTTCGTTAAATGTAATCTTTCTGGTCTATAAGTTTAATTATATTTGTTAAAAATATAATAAATATTTTTATTGTTTGTGATAGTTTTAAAAATATTGGAATATGGATTGATATTTTTAAAATAATCAATATTTGAGTAAAGATATCCCAAAAGAGAAAGATTTTTAAATATATTTTGATACAATTTTTGAATAAACATGTTATCTGTAGTCGTATTTCTTAAAACAATACTGATTTTAATTGAATTCTATAAGATTTTTCATTCATTTTTAATATTTTAAAATTTTCGAGTAACGCAATTTAATATGGAAATATTTATTTACTTCTAAAAAGTAAATAAATATTTCCATATTAAATTAATAAATTAATTTAATTAGACTTCTATCAATAGAGACAATTTTACTTAGTCTTTAAAGTAAATTTCAATAATAAATTTTCTATTATAAAGCAAATTTATTATTACTAAAGTTATGTTTAAATTTGGTGTAAATAGTTTCTGTAGAATATTAAAAATCTGAAGAGTATTTATAAAAAATAAATAAATATATAAGAAGCTTACGGCATGAGCTCTAATCTCTTTACTAATAAAATAAGTTTCTGTGCTTTCGTCTTGCATCCACAATGCCAAATACCCATCAGAATCTCCAGTTAAGAATGTACCATTAGGCAAAACTTCGAGTGACATAATAATTTTTGACGAAAATCCCTTAGGAAGAGAACACAAGAGTATTAGATTTGTCTCGTGTTTCGTCTAGACTAGATTTTCATAATATTGTTTCTTACCGACACCAGAGTAATCAGATCTTGCCTTTCTAAAACGTCATCCTTCGCTCTTCTCCATAACGTTAAATGCCGTTTTCCATAAGTAATTGCTATTTCTTTGTCGATTGTTAAGAATGTAGAGCCATGAATATCAGTTTGATCGACCTAATATAAAGAGACAATTTAAATATATTTTAAAAATGATTAAAGAAATTATACATACATACAGATGCCCTTCCGATTTCAGTATCTTGAGACCATTCCCACAACGATAATATGTGATCTTCAATGGCTAATAGAACGTTTCCCTAAATATTAAAAATTAAAAGATTAATATAAAATCATTTATTTTTGTATTAACCAATAATTAAAACTTATAAACTCAAACCTCGGGTGAAAATGCCGTAGTTATAATTCCAGCATCAAACCTGTTTAGTCCAACTACAGATAACGTGACTAAATTATCAACCCTCCAAATACGTATATGTGCCTGTAACGCGATATATAATTGGTTGTTAAAAATATATCTTAAAACTTTACAAAATTATATAAATATATTCATTTACTTGAGATTTTTCAGCCATTCCGGGTCCCTGAGCAGTGGCAATCATGTCGCCCAAAGGATGAACTGCCATACTAAAAGACAAAACAAAAAAAAAATTAATTTTAGGAAATGATAGAAAGACAATTAACTAATTACATTATTCAAATTAAGTTCTTTTCTCTATTTACTAACTAATTTAAACTAAAAGAAGTTCCCTGGTGATGAGCTAATTAAACTGTTACATAGTAACTTGTATGTCACTCATTTCTAAACTGGATAATGAAGATGACTTTTATACTAGATCTATTCACTTAAATTTCAAAAAGAAATTATATATATTTAGAGCTAATTCGTGTTTTCTTCCTGTTTTTTATTCATTGGATAATATATTTTATAATGTTTAATATTAAAATTCTATAAAAATTTAAATTTAAAAATATTTAAAATAATAAAAAGATAGAATAGAGAGGAGAAATTTATATACTGTAAATAAATAGATAAAAAATTACAAGAGACATGACAAGACATAAAAGAAATTCGTAAATTTAAGAATAAAATTCAGGAGGAAAGAACTTCAACAAGCTTTTACGATAAATTTATCTGTTTTGACCGATAAAAATCTCTTACATCTTCAATTTTTTTTACCTTTCTTGTAGATTTGAACTGAAACTCTAAGGTTTTTGAACTTAAATTTAATTTGTATTTTATGACAAATGAAGAAAATAAAGCAAAAATATATATACAGTAATTTATTTTTTTATTAAAATATTTTTAAATAATAAAATATTTATATATTTGTTTATTAACGTAAACATTAGTAATGCCAAAAGGCAAGGGGTGTCTACCTCCATAAAAGAATATAGTTAATATTTACATGTGTATATGTGTGTGTAATATTTACATGTATAGTTGTGTAATTTCAAACTTTCATAGAGCTATCGTGTAGCCTACTATAAGTGGATCTAAGGGAAAATAATCTTTTATATAACTTTTCATAGAATATTCTAACTTAATAGGAAGAAAAGATATTCGTATAACATTTTAAGCAGACGTATAAGTATAAAATCTGAATAAAGTGGAAGTGTTTTGACAATTATCAATATTTTAATTTAATAAAATAAAATTATATAATTTTTTCTGGAATTTTTTTTTGATAGTTGATTAAATAATTGGATTATTTCTGTTGGAACGATCATGTTTTGTTTATTTATTTATTTTTTAATACCGAAAAACAGGTAAAACAAATTATATATGTATAGAATAAAACCTCTTGTCTCAATCATCTCTGTAATGAGACTGTTTCTACAAAAGATCAAAGTTTTCATGAACAAAATTAAATATTTGCATTTTCTTTGAAATTAATCATCTAACTCGATCAGTAAATCAAAGGAGTCCTCAGATAGAGATCGTTTTCAATTTATCAGCTTGGGAATTCTCTATTGTATTGTAACTCATTGAAAGTAAAGGGTACTGTCATGTAGACGATCAATTAACGATTATATATGCTTAAAACGGAAATAAAGGTACACGTATAAATAGGCAAACGATCTCATTCTTAAAATATGGTTTATCTAATCCTCTACAAAAGACCAAAATCTATTCGGAGCGGGTTGTCTTAGGGAGGTTACTGTATACATTTTTTAAATTATTAAACTTGTCACAATCAGATCACAAAAAAGAAATTTAAATAATTAAAGTAATTAATTTTCTTCAGGAATAAAAACTAAATTTCGCAGTTTTATGTTCTATATTAGTTTTAGACAAATTACTTTAAAAAAATAACCAAACTCATTAATGATATTCTCAATATACACAGAATTAAACGTTACGACAAATTCGATTTTCTGAGAAATAATTATCCATTTACTTTTATCGATTTTAAATTAAATCAATTTTGCGCAGATGTAATTAACAGTTGCTTATAGAATAATGCATTAAAAATGATATAAACATAAGATTAATGCGCTCTTTTTAAATATATTTATATAAAAAAAATACACTATTTTTCCTTTTTTAACTTTTTATCACGCCGTACTTTAAATAAAGTTTTAGAAAATAGGATAAATAATTTGAAATAAACGTTATATCTCATATTATTTAATGTTTATACAGTGTCATTCTTATATTTTTTTCAATGGGAGGTGTAAAATTACGTCAAATTGACGTAACAATGTATACTATCCTGACCTTTAATATACAGTAGCGCTATACACCTTCTATTATAAAGTGGCCCAGAATTATTGGGGCATTTATATGTTATTAGCTCAATATTCTTTTGTGTTATTAATAATTGTTTTAATTATTTAGATTATAAAATTCCCAAATGTTTAGAACTGTAGAGAACTGTGAAAATTCTGTGACAATAGCTGATAAATCTGGGATGTGTATCTAAATATTACGTTTTGTTAAAGTGATAAATGGTCTTTAAACTTATTCTTAGATTCATATATTATTACTAAATTCAGGTATTATCAAAATTATTTTTTATAAATATTATATTACTGTTAAATTTACCATTCTATATCCTCTGTGTGTCCAAGATAATGGCGTTGTTTGTGGCGGCCCCGATGATATAAAACAGCAACAGCTGCTACAGTATATAAAAGCTCACCCGTTAGTAGTAAATAAATACTTTTACCTAAATGACGACAATTATATCCGTGACTTGAAAAGAGTTAAAGAGAAATTTTATCAAATAAATGAAAAGGTTTTTTATGAGTTTTTCTTGTTTAAAGGATACACCCATTCCAGTTCTAATCGTTTATTTGGTCGATTGCTATTTTTCTGTTCCAAGGAATGAGAGGTTTCAGTTTTGTTTGGTCCTGCTTTGATTCTATGAGGATCTCTGGATGATTTCCTGGTTTCTTGAATTGTTGTGCTATCAGAATCTGTAATAAATATATAATATTTATTTATTTTTTTATTCGTTTAATCCCTTTATCAATAAGAAAAAAAGTTTATATTTATGATGCTAAAATAGAATTACAGGAATGAATTATCAGTTATAGAATTAAAATCTTATTAGAATAAAAAATGAAATATTTTGATAAATAAAAGAGACTTAATATTCATTAAATTAAATATATTTAAAAACGTATTTGGTTTTTCGAACAAAAATAATCTATAATTCGAAGGACTGATATTTTTTTATATAATTTGCTCTATAAAAAAAAACAGTCAATTCTATTATACTTTATCAATTAATAAAATTGATTATAACTCAAAATTAAAAGAAAAACAATTAAATTTATAATACAGTATACACATTTGTAAGAAACATAAACAGTTGAGTTAACTTTTATTAGAGGAAAATTATGTTAATATTTGATTTAAATATTAAAATTTGCTTAATAATTCTAATATTAAGCAGAAATGAACTTATTTAGAAAATTAAATGAGTAATAAAACATTTTAAAAATTCATTTTATTTTACGTTGCAAGTTGGATATTGATCGAAGAACTGGTAGAACACAGGCAACTAAGGGAAGAAGAAGACGACTTTCACATTTTTAAAGTTATTTTAATCTAAACGAAAGGTTCTAAGATCGCTGGAATTGCATTCATCTATGAAATTTTAATTTTATTCTAATAATAGAAGGCGATACCATTTCTTTTTCTGTTTATCTAAAGTATAAATGTATAGAATCTTTTAATCCACCGTATAAAAATTCCTAAATATGTGTTTAAAATATAATTCGAATTAGACAGAAGTTATTTATCTACTTTATTTATAAATAACAATTCTTACAAATTATAAAATGCAGTAAACATGCAAATACGCATTATTTATCATTAGAAAGATCAAGGAAATAGGCTGAGAATAACAATAATCATAAATTATAGAACCTAAATTGTTTCTTAAAAGTATCTATTAAACATTTGCTATGAAAGATTAGAATTAATAAAATATGGAATCTTAAATTCTATATTTTCTATTCAAATTTCATATAAAAGAAAATTTGAATAGAAAATTAAATTCTGTAGACATATTCTTTGTTAAATTAAACATATTAAAAGACATTTCTATGCTAAAAAATTTATATTACAGGATAAATTAATTTATTCTCACATAAATTTTTGATTTTCAACTAAAAAAGTAATTTGTTTTTTCATCTTTTCATTGCTTGGTGATTTAAATTTTAAATACACATTTTAAATTTAATTTAAGAATTTATTCTTTGTGTTTATTCAAATTTAGTTTTAGCAAAATATTTATTTTTTTAAGAAAGAAATTTAGAAGTAATAATAATAATAATAATAATAATAAATTACAAGATTTTTATTTTTTCTTTTGTTAAGAAATTTAGTTTCTCTGCAAAATTGATTATTCTAGGATTTTATATGCATAAGAATTATAATATAAAATCCTGAATAGTTAGATTTAATTAACTATTTGATTAAGTCCAATTCTGAATTTAATCTTGGATATTTAATTATTAATCAAATCCAATTAATAAATCACATTATTAATGAAATACAAGGTTAAATCCAATGCTGGACTTGTAAAATTTCAAGTTCAAATCTGGGGCTAGATTAAATCCTATATTAGATCTTAGAATTATATTTATTTCAGGATTAGATTTAATTGTAGAAATATTGCATGAGAACAATTATATTCTAGGATTTCTACATGTATTAGAACTATGAATATAAAATCCTGGAATAATTAATTACTTGCTTATCAAATTTAAAGAAAAATTAAATTCTGGAAGGAGTAATTATTCTTCTTTACATTCACTTTAATACTATAAACATTTAAATTTGTAGTATACTGTATTTAGATTTAGCCATAATGTTTTTAATTATCTGAAATGCAACATTTTAGAAAGATAATTAATTTTATAAACAAAAAAACAAAAATACTTTTGCTTAATCTATACTTGTTAATTGATTTTTCTGGTATTTTAGATATCATTAACATGATTGAGAGTGATTAAATTCTTTAATGATTTTACTTTCTCATCAATCTTTAAAGATTAATTAACGTTTCTCCTAATCAAAATATTTGTGATTAAGAATTTATTAAAATCTGTATTAAATTAATGTTACAATAATGCTGTTTAATCTGATTTTATGACATAAAATATATATATTATGAATAGTTAAGTCAACGGAAAAATGAAGATGTTCGGGGAAAAATTAGAGAAATTAATTAATTACGATACTGAATTTTTCTAAGTTATTTAAGAGGGATATTTACGTATTTCCGTTGCTTAGTTACGAAGTCTCGAGTCGAATTAGACCTAGTTGTTTGTTGAAATTGTAGTATTGATTTGTAATTTATTTTTGGTAAGATAATATAGGCTGAGAACAAAGTAATGATGAGAAAATAGGACTAAGATTATTACTAAGCTGTAATTATAATTGCCTGTCTTGTAAATTTTTGTATTACATGTGACAAGTTATGATAAGTTGAATTAGAGTTGCCAGGTATTTAGGGATAAAACCCGAGACAAAATGAGTTCTTCCCGAAAGATACTGGGACTCTTTCATTGTAGGAACAGTTTAGAATCCCTATCTCTGGATGGCAGTGGGGAAAAATGCGGGACAATCCCGGAAAACCGGCAACATTGAGTTGAATGGATGGGATAGGCCTTTACAGTTTATGTTCGCATTTAATGTACTGTTTATAATGATAAATGCTAATCGCTTTTGAATCTTTATCGAAAGACCTTAAAGGATTGAAGTTAGATTGTTTAAAATATTTGCATTGAATAGATTTGACCTAATATTATTCATCTAATAATAGGAATCTGACCTCGATAAACAGGAAATGGATCTCGGTTAATAGCGTTAATATCTATCTTCCTATCATTAAACATCATTTGATTTCGTAATTTAGAGAAATTCCAATAATTTAATGTCATCAACGAGGTCTTAAAATTAAGCTGTATCTTATAACAATTATTTTGAATATCAATGATTTTAATGGAGTAAAATGACGACGATTTGCAGACTTAACATCTTGAAATTTCCATCTTCAAATTAGTTATTACACGTTTGTTTTTTTACAACACGATTAAATACATAATAACTGTTAATAATAATAACACAACAACCATTGTTATACTATCAATAGATATTAGATAGCCTGTAAAAACAAATATCATAATTTAATTCTTAATTAATAAATATTAATTAAGTTAAATTCTTTTATCTGATTTAATGTAAGAAAGTAAAGGTGTCTTCGTTACATTGAGAGCTTTCTTTACTTTCTACTCTTATGCTAGTTTGACGTCATTTATTCGTTAGTATTGTGAAGTAGTGACGTCAAATTGGTGTATAAGTGCGGTGTTCCGAACGAACAGAGCCTCGAGTCAACGGAAATTTCTAACTGTTCTGCATTATCTGTTTCGATTTTTGAAATATCTTATCTTCGATCTATTATACATAAACTCACACATGTGTATGTGTAAGTTCATATATAACAGATCAAAAATAAGACTATACACTACATACACTATACTACACTATACTATACACACACATATACATAGGTGCTACTACACTACTCTATACAAACACACACCTATATACACACACCTATATGTGTGTGTGTGTATATATATATATATATATACAAAAGTTATAAAGCAATGTTAAAATTTAATAATAATTTAAATTCTAAATATAGAACGAATGTCTTTTAATTAGCTTCACTTAATTAGCCTCTATTACAAAAATTATAATAATAATCATCTCTTCAAAATATTACATTTATGTAAAATAAAATCATTAATAGTTTTTATATTATTAAAATCTATTTTGCAATTTAAACGATTATAATAATTATTTCATTACTTCAGTTTTATTTGAATTAAATTAAAATATTAAAATAAATTTATAAATTCAAAATTATTACTATAATTACACGCAAATTAATCGACTGAAATTTAAATAAATTTATTTATTTGTTTAATAAGTACAACACAGAATACACATAAACAATTAGCTTACATGAATACAGATTTGTATAAAATTAAATAAATAAAATCATTTATAAAAATTTTAATTTATTCCCAGTTTCTGAATTGAAATTTTTTATACTTTGTCGGCCCGATTAAAATATATATTCGGGATGATATTCGATACGATCTTTATGATTTATAAATGGAAACGTATGTCATAATTCCATATTGATATCATTTCTCTTCTCTAGAAAATATTAATTGAAATTTCGCTATTAAATTCAAGCTTGAATGATAAATATTTTAAATCTTATTAATTTTATCTTCTCTTATTATAGAAATTGAAAACGGTTTATCAAAATGTTAAAAGCACGAAGCGAAGAAAATTAATTTCTAGATTAAAGGTATGATAAATTTTAAAAGCAATGTTTTCCATTCATTTATTTTTATCATTAACATCACGTTTTAAAACAGAATTTTTAAAATTTAATATAATATTTTCCTCGACAACTCGTTGTAACGAGTTAATACAGTAGCGAATATAAAACTAATGTATTCAATTGTTTTCAATTCTATTTTTGGTATAAATAATCTTTAACTTATGTAAAAAAAAAATTTTTTAATATAAGTAAATACATGGAAAACAAGTTATTTAATAAATTTGTAGTCTATTAAACAATATTGTTTAGAGTAGAAACCTCGATTTTAATAAAATTGTATGGCAGAAACTGGTCGGTTTATACTACTTTTTTAAAACTATAATACTGTATATATTTAAAATTTTAAAGTCATTTTCAAAGTTCAATACCAAGAAACATTTATCGAATTTTAATGTTTTTGATTTATGATTTTGAATATTTAAATTGCACGCCAGAATTTTGTGACTATTTATTTACATATGTACTGCATTAATAGAAAATTTAAGGACGAATATTTTCGAAAATCATTAAATTCTTTTTACTTTAATTATTATTATTATTATTTATTGCTGCAGTCGAAAATTTAAGTAAAAATGAAAATTACTTATTACAATTTTACGTAGTTTCCGAAAAGAATAATTAAAGGAAACTTATTAAATATATTGTAGTTTATTTTAAAATTATAATAAATTTATTTTGATTTTAATATAGAATATATGAGAATTGGGTTTGCCTTGATTTTTTATAACTAAATATAGGTCTAAATACGAGCAATTACTTATCGCGACGTCGTAACGATGCCGGTTAAGGAAGGACAGACGGACGGACAGATGGACGGACGATAGTGGCAATCTATAGGTCTACAATTCTTTATAAGAATGATTATTATCGTTTTATTTTTCGGAACAATTTTTCTTACTTTTTATCCTGTGATTTATTTCATATAATTTTTCCAATTCGCTAAACATCCGAATAATTATTCACTGATTAAGAAAATCATAAATATTGATTTATTTTCGAGAAATGGCGGAAAATGTTTCTATTTTCTTCTCAGAAATCCATAAGATATAAAAATAAATTGCACAAAAAGTATCGAACACTTAAATGTGATAATTAAGAATTATATATAGGCCTATATAAACCAGAAAAAGAAGTTTATTATTATTTTTTTAATATTAACTCTTTTCAATTGCTTATTTATTTTAAAATGTAGACATATTTTCAAATATATTTTTTTGTTTTTAAATCGTATTCTTTGAATGCTTGGCAATTTCTAAAAAATTTTCAGATTGTTCGATAATTCTTGAATATTGAAATTATATGTTAAAATTAATAAGTTGAACTTAATCAAACAGAAAATTTAAAACTGTATTTAATGTTTTAAATTGATCCACAACATATTTTAGTTTTTATCCTGTTGTTTTCCACTCAATAAACTTTCAGATTTACTATGATCTAATGGTTCTCCGTGTTGTAATTTTTACTTTTGATAAATATTTTGATATTTTGAGACTTAAGTTATTTTTATTAAAATCTTTTCGAAATGGTCGTTCGATTAATTCTTACATAATTGGCACATAAGGCATAGTATAGCGATTGCCAACCGGTGGTCTGTAGAGGAATTTGGACATTGATCAACTCAAGGTTACGCGAAGAATTACGAAAGAAATGCAAAATGTTTTGTGGCTTTTTCTCACTCATTGGAGGGGGGGAGTTTATTCGAATCTAAAACAAAATACGAAATGTCTGTTATCGATAAATAATAATTACAATAAATAAAATGAGTGCGATTGTCGTCCATCGTGGAAAAGAGCCAAGAATCCATAAACTTATTTCAAACAATCAGCAACAATCTTCACACTAATTTGTTATAATGAAGCGAGTGTGTTTCATATTAATAAAGTAAAATGGAACTTTTATGATCATTATTCTATCGTTTAAAAAAAATTCATGACAGTGGTCCGTTGGATTAGAAATTGTGTCTAGTGGTGAGTGAAGTCAGAAAGGTTGGAGATCGCTGGTATAGGATATATCAGATTTACCTCTCATTATAAGTCCTGATATAATTTCTGTTTTTAAACTTCTGTTATTTCTAAATATTAAGCGTGTGTTATATTTTAATCTTATTTTATCAAATACATTAATTTAGATATTATTTTCTTCTGGTTCAGCATATTATACTCATAAAATTGGTATTACCGGTACGTAGACTATAGCCTACTTCTTACTCTAATGTATTTTCGATATACAAATATAATTTAAAATGTTAAAAAATTCTTACTTGAAAGATTGGGTACACTCCCGCTAAAGGAATTGGTCGGATGGTTACTGTTTTTTAATTTTCCATTTCTGATGGGCGAAGATTCCCTAAGTGTTTGCTCAGAAATATCAGTTCTTTCTTCCCTATCGAGATAGAATTTTTCTGTAGTTTTTAGTTCTTCCCTCAATTGGGAAAAACTTCGAATCTGAAAATATTTACATTTAATATAAATTTAATCATTATATTAAATTAACTACTTAGTTGAATCTGTAATGTGTACTTAAAGATAGTTTATAAACTGTTATTGTATAAAACAAATTAAATAAGTTATATTTTCTTGTATAAGTTCTAGAATTTGTTCTTACGTTGCATAACGTTAAATCAACATAAAATATTAATTTACAAGTGTGGAATACCCATAAAATGTTAGAATATTTATAACATAATGTAATGCTATTGTAATCATTAAACATTTAGAATAAAAATATATTTTTAGATCTGTAATTTAGACAAAAAAAGAACAATAAAACTTTTTAAACTTCCGTACGAAATAACATAATTTACTTTTCTAGGAGCGAGTTATTTTCGAAATTATAGACGATTTTTTGGTGAAGAATGAATCGATCGATATCGGAAATATATTATTATCGATTGATAATGTGCAAATCGATATTCTCATTTAATGATATTTGGATTAGCTTGTTACAACTTATTTACATTTTTATATACAAAAAAAAACCAAAATTTTATTACTATTTTTAAGTACTAATTATCGATTAATTAATTAAACATCTTCTAATGATAATCTGTATTATTATCAACCTGGGTTTTAAATGGTTTTTACCTAGATTAATGGTAACCCAGTGTAATATAATGCCGATCAATAGATACTACACGCCAGTATTAAATTATAAAGGCGTTACAATAATTTAAATTTAGCTTGTACGTATATATATATATATATATATATATATATAATCTATAAGCAAAAGTTAATTAACCTACAGTTCAAAAGGACACTTAAAATATTCCGTGGCGTGAGCGTTACAGCTTTATTTCCTTGCTTGAATGTCGTGCAAGGTTCCAATTTCGGTTATAAATTGGCACTTTCGGTCAATTTGACATTTACGATGATAAAATAGCAATTTATGAATGGACAATATGGAAGATTTTGAAAGGTCTGGCTAACAAATCAAAATATTATAGATTGTCGATAGCGTAGAGAATGAAATTAGATTTCTTTTTTTAAAGGTTTTAGCAACACTTTGATAGTACAGAGATATATTATGAGATTGTTGTTGATTTATAAACGTTCGTAATGTGTTTGCATATCGTACGTTCATGGTTATGTTCATTTTTGGCGCAATAAATAGAAAATTTAATATTGTAAATCAGCAAATTCTAGGAAATAAATGATTTATATATCACGCAAATAACAATAATAAAAGAAAAGCTCCTATATTTTGTTTTTTTATAAATTGTTAATTTTTTTTATAATTTATAAATCCATTTTTTTAAATTATAATTCTTCATAGAGTTTTATTATTTATTTATTTATTTATTTATATTAGAAGTTTTCGTCATTAAATCAGTTTTCGAAACTTTGACTTTTCTAGTTGGAAAAAAAAATCGATTATTCGATTATCGAGGAAATATTCAAAAAGTAATATGTTATTATTTTACTATATATAAAATATTAAGAACATTATTATTATTATTATTATTATATTATTTTAAAATATAAACAAAATCTATCGTAAAATTCTTCTTATTGGTTGAAAATACGTTTTAAGAATTACTAACATTTTATAGAATTACGCTTGTAAATTTAGTTAAAATATTAGAAAATACTTAAAAGCTATATGAGAAATTACTAAAGTAATTAAATCATCTAATGATTCTTTACTTAACAAAATTCATTCTGAATTTAAATTTAAATATATTAAAATTATATTTATTTTTTTAATAGCCTATCTGAAATTTTTCTAAATATTTCAAAGCAGATGTTTATGTTAATATAAAATGAGTAAATAAAATAGTAATCAACTAGTTTTTTAATCCCTATAAATTTTATTATAAATAATTTAAAACTGAGATAAAGAGAGGTGAAACAAGCAATCCACTATATTCATTTGTGTTAATATTTCAAGTTGGAATAGAGATTAATTGGATGAAAGAAGTATATTTTTATTTCTGTTTGAAATAAAATGGATCAAAAGTGTAATAATATCTATTTTAATATTTAATGTAACATTTTATAACATCTGAACAAAATGAATATTTAATACTATAACAAAATAAATAATAAATTAAAATAATGTAGTAAATAGTAATTATACTTAATTTATACAATTCACTTATTTTCTCTCGTAGGATTTATAAAATGTAAGAAATTTTAAAGTTAGGAATGTCTTTATAAATTCTAATATTTGCAACTGAGTTTATAAAATTATTTAAATAATAATGAAGATAAATTACTAACTTCATGCAATTTGTGTATTTTGTAATAAGAAAAATCACTTTTAAATTATTTAATTATGCATTAAAACAAAATTTATTTAGATTTATAGCTTTGTGCTTATTGTGTAGTGAAATAATATTTTATATTTTAAAATTAATTAGGATTTGTATTGACTTTTATAAGAAATGAATCATATTGAAAGATATGTTTATATTAAAGTATATTTAAAATGTATAAATTAATTTTCCAGCTCACGAAATCTTATCATTTAAATTTATCTTGTAATAGGCTAATTATAATTATTAATACAAGTGAAAATACGTATGAACAGTATAATGGTATGCCAGAAAATATATTTAAGATTGTTTGTAAACTGATAAAATAATTACTGCATTAGTATGTAAATTGCTAAACACGAGATCACTGGAAGACATTTTAAAATTTTTTGATCAAAGGCTAATTTCTATAAAGCAAAAACTCTTATTTTTCAAGAGAAAAGTATCTTGCTAATTTTAATATGAAATTTCATTTCAATATTTTCGTCTAATATTACTAAGATTTATATAGCTTTACATGATTTCAAGAATGTGAAGGAGTAATGAGGCAAGTTGGGGTATAGTCTGTATTGTACTTAATAAGGGCTGTAACTTAGCAGTAAATATTGCAATTAAATGTAAACAGAAGAAATAGGTGGAGATAAAGTTACTATTGTTGTTCAGTGCTCATTGCCAATGGAGGAAACAATGTGTTTGACAGCTATGTTGATGTAATTTGTTTCGTTTTTAAAAATAATCCTCATGTTAGTAACGTAAAGATTTTTGATTCCTTCTATCAATAGAGAATTCTTTTATCTTTACGTGACTGTATAAAAACTTTTATTAATACTTTTTCTTATCAAGGAGTTTAAGAAAGACTTCATAATGGCATCTTGGTGTAAGATGGTGAAGTGTTGTGTGGGTAAAACGGGGTTACTTCATCGTGTCTTTCGTTTGGTACTCCATCTTAAAGAAGAAAGAAAAAGAAAGATTTAAGAGAAGACAAACTTAAAGCAAGGAAAAGAAGAAATGTAGCCGTTTAGCAAAAGAACAAAACAGAAAGTATAACAGCAGCAATGCATCAGTTAAAACACCTAAAGAGAGCTCTTCGAATTAAGACACTGAATGCCTTTACTGTGGATATTTGTGTCCCGATTCAACGGAAAGTAGGATATGCAGCGTAATTTGTCACTGAACCTCATCATACTCATCTTATTCACCAACTCATTGTTCATGAGTTAGATAAGGTGAGGATGATCAGGTTCACCATATTTGCGCCTTATGCCTTCAAGAAAAGTAGATTTCTGTACTATAAACATTTCTGTAATAAATCCTAAATATTGTTTCATTGCTAATTTGATGTTGTTTAATCTTTATAATTATGAAATATAAATCTGATTTGAACCATTCGCCTCCAAATACACGATGTTTTACCCCACCGATGAAGCAAGATGGGATATTTGATAATACAGTATTTCATAAACATTGCAAGAAAGAAGAGAAAAGTTAATAATTTGAATTTTTGTTAATAGTAGTTGAAGTTCACATTCAATGACATACGAAGTTTTCCCCATGTTTAAAGATTTAATTATAAAAAAAGTAATAAAAGTTCTTAGCTACCTTGTCTCGTCCCACTTTCCCCTATATTATTATTACTTTTATTAAAAAATAATGATAAGAACTTTTGATTTTTTGCAAATAATACATTTTCAATGGCTTGTTCACGAAATTTTATCATTTTTATTTTAATATTCCATTTGCATAGCTAATGACATCTTAAAATAGGAATAATAAATTTATCATGGAAAATTCTCAAAGCATGCAAATCATGACAGAATGATTCAAATTCAATAGGAATAAAATAACTGTCTTTTTGATGTTTCATATTTATAATACTGAGTTGATCCTATGGAATTGTCAGTACATATTTGGTCTAATATGTAAGTCCAAAAATGCATACCAATCAGAAAATTTGAATGTATTTTTAAATATTTTTTCCAACAAATTTGTAAAAGAGAGAAAAAGAGTAAAGCCAAAATTTATTTTATGTACAGTACATAAATACAATGACCATATTTTCTTAGAAAAAATAAAATTCAAGCTGAAATTCATTTCATGGTGCATAAAACAATTTCCTTTTCCAGAACACAGTTTTTACTTCAAGTGGTAGATTCTAAAATTTAATTTTGGTATTTTAAATGGTAAAATAAATAGTAAAAGACTAAAATCCTTATTGAAAATAAATAAAATAAAAGTAAATTTAAAGGATAGCACCTTCAAAATTAATGGCCATCTTTGTTATGAAGGATGTATGATCAATGTTACGTTCTATTACGGCTTCATTTAGTCCACCCTCAAATTTGTGAGAATCTCAAAAATATTGTGGTAAATTATTAATTTCTTTGCATTTTTTATGTATTAAGAAAAAATGTTTAATTATTGTCAATATTCATACAGTTTAAAATGTGATTATTAACTGAATGGAAGGAAAGATAATACAATTTTAATAATACAATTATTATATGATTTTTTTAAAACACAAGAAATGTCCAAGAGAAATCACAAACATTTGATGAATGATTGATGTTATTCTAAACTTGTAAATAAGGACAGACATATTAAGAGTTAAGTAGCTTAATTAACTATTTATCTGCATCATATCTGCGATTTATACTTAATATTGAAGCACTTTTACGAAGAGACACAACTACATACAATATAAATTCATAAAACACGTATTATTTAAATATTCAGATTGACAAAACTACAAGGAGGACACGTGTCTCTGTACTTCATCATTGAATTCGCTATTGTCTTTGACAATATTTTATTTAACAGACATAATAAATATTTCAATTGCTATAAAGTTTTTATTTCCGACATTGTTCTCTTTAACACTAAATTGTAAAGGAAAAAATCGTATTAAATTATTTAATTTTGTATTACTTTCCCGGTTGTTATATTTAACAGAAGGTAAGTATGGCGATCGGTCAAAAAATGACCCTACAAGATTTTTACATTTTTAAACTCGGGAGATCTTTAAACGTCAAGAAATGCAATAAACAAACAAATAAATAAATTGGATTTTTCCATTAATGTATGAATGTTAAGTTAGTGTGTGGGGGTACGATTTTATTCACCCACTTTGAAGCTTAATAACTTCAGTGCCTTTTGCCGAAAATTGCTGAAATTGTGCAGGGAGGTTTGTATATTAAGGCCCTTGAGGCTGTTAAATTTTAGTGGTTAAAGGTCAAGGGGATGAGGAGATAGAATGGATCATATTTCATATCTCGAACGGGATCGGACTTAATGATTTTACTCGTTATTAGTTAGCATTTACAATTTTTTTCTATAAAACTCATCTCTACCCTCAAAATTAAGCTTTTTGCCATTTTATAATAATTAATAATATAAAAATTTTCTTAAAATAAAATCTCATAATAGAAGGCTCCACACTCAATTTTAACTTTTTCACCGGGAAAGTTATTCAACTCGTTGCTGGATTTTTTTTAGCGTGTTTAGGTAATTATACCAGTATATTATTTGTTCAGTGAGTTTATAATAATCGTTTAAACTTGTAATCTGGAGTAAATCATATGTTGAAATATTTCATTTAATTAGAAATATTAAATGCATTAATCTTATATCGTATATGTGATATAAGATTTACTTACATATTTGTTTATTTTAATTAGTTCAAATCTTTTATGGAATGATTTTTTGATAGAAATTTTTTCTATAATGATCGAATTTATATATTTATAACATAATAAAAATTATAAATAAGATATTATAAAATTAAACCTACTTCTTGTCCTTTCTGACTGTACATCTTGCTGGCATCTTTCACTTTCACAGCTTGACCTAAATCCTTCATAATCTCTTCGAAAGTCTGCATGGCACGCAGATTTAATAAAACGCGACTGTAGACATTTTGGTCTTGTCCATTAACCACCGTTATCACTTTTCCTTCATTGGAATTGGGAAGAGAATGCGATCTAGAACCCGCATTTCTATAAGTTTTTGTACGTTTGACTATACTGGGTGACACTGGACGGAACAATTTCATATCTTCTTCACGTAGAGGTGCTGCTAATGGTCTACGAGAAGCGTGAGTAGTTCTTGCTCTTTCAGAAGCTCCGTAAGCCATTGCTTGGAATTGCTTGGTGTCCGAAACCACGTACGATTCCCTATCTTCGAAGTCATCCAACGATGTCAATCTCTTACCACTTAACGTGAAGATGTAACGAACTCCTCGTGGTAGCTTGGTTTTTTGCGTTAAATAATCGTATAAATTATCCATATTTGCGAAATGCTTACCTGGTTGCAGTGACACTTTGATACCCGGTGTGAATAGATCACCGTTTCTGTAAAAAGTCAACATGTATGCTTTATTTCTGGCAGTCTTGACTTTAGGTTTGGCTTCACTGTACATTGTGTCAATATAATTGTTTGTTTCTCTCGTAGATTTATTCCGCTTATCTGTAAATTGTGGAAGAGGTTCGTAGCGATTCATCGTTGGCATGATGAGGGCCAAACGAAATGCAAAGATAAACAAAAGACTTATTTTCCTGTTTTGTTTTCACTACTAATCACACACACACATCTTTAAACGCAGCTGGATAGCATGCATATGCTGGTATCGTGCTTTCTGCGTTGTTGTTACTATCGTAGTCATAGTAACTATTGGGGTTCGAAGCCGGTAATCTTCCGTCCCCCCTTCTATATGATATAGTTAATAATAACAATAAACCGACGTATTATCAACACCATATCTCCTTCCTTTAAGGTTATTTTCAAGAAAGTTGTTTAATATTCTGTTTCCTTAGCAATGTCACCCCCATTCTTTTTGATTTGTTTGTTCTTTCAACTATGAGAAAATAACTACATTTTTTTTTTAAAAAAAAACTTTAAAAATATATTTTAATAAATGTAAGTAAATTTATTAAAGAATATTTTTTAAGATAAAAAAAATAATATTTTAATTATTTATTGGTTAATTTCTTTTATATTCACATCAAACTGTATTAGATGATTAAGAATATTCTATATTTTAGTTTATTTATTACATTATAAAATTTGTTTTAATAGGAATTTCATGTAAGATAAACTTGTACATAAAAATTGATATGCTGATATGATTATACATTTTTAAATATTTAAGTATAATAGAGAAGTAGATAAAACATTTTTTAATACAGAACTTTATTAAATTTTAAAAAATTGTTTGGATATAAAGAACATAAAAAAAATAATAATGATTGCTTTTATTGTCTAGGAGATAAAGAAAGAAAGAAAGAAACATTACGAGTGAAGTCTCATTGTAACAATTGTATAATACATGTAACAAGGACGAGTCGAATGATCGGAATTTAGTAGTATATATATATATTTTTTTCTTTAATTTAAATTGATTTTCTCTAGCTGAAACAGTATAAATAATGTTAAAAAAAAGAAATATTTTACATATATTCTTTAATATATTACATTTAATACGTATAAAAATATTCGAGATATAATTTATAGGGCCTTTTATAATTAGTTCCATACTCTTGATTATCAATAGATCGGGTAATGTTTTATTTGTATAATCTTTTAAAATATGGAATTAAATTTTTAATAAGTGAAATATTTTGGTATTTAATCGGGGTTTTTAATATCTGGTTTCGATTTTTATCTATCTAACACTATTCTCGAGATTAACGAAAGACAGACGGGCAGACAATAGGAATGTATGGGTCTGCATAATAGTAGACATAAATGTGTGGGAGGGCCTCTTCCTAAATCCATAATATAAAATCAATAAAACAAAAATATTAAACGTTAATTTATAATATTTTCATATTGTGTTTGTTATAAAAACGATTAAATTTCTCTCTTGACTCGGGCCTCTAATGCAGATCTAAAGGGCCTGTTGAGCCTGATAAATTGTAAATTTATGAGTTGAATAAAATAGTAACCATGCAGAAATGTTAAGATTTTATGATCTAACTCGTAAAACATATGTAAAAATAAGAAATTTATGATTTGATGACGATTGAAATAAATATTTAACTTTGTTTTTATGTATTAAAACGTAATTTTTATTTCTGTATTTCAGTTAATTCGTTATCTGTTTTGAATGAATTTATAGTAGTAAGAAGCGAATTATTAATTTAAAAAACTTTTTTCTGTTTTTTAGGCTGACAATTTCTTGATACTAAAACGGTATAGAGAAGCCGTAGCTGATAAATGCCTGATAGACGAGAATATAGAAATACAGTAATATAATTGGGCATTATTAACAATTTGTTAGTATATTATTACTGATATTGATTTGATGGCATAAAAAAGAATACGTAAATTTCTCTGAAAGATTTTATTTTCAAAAATGTAGTAACGAAAAAGTGATATTTTTATTACAATACGATATATAATTCAATAGTTAGTTTTACGTAGAAAAATCAAAGCAGGTATATTTTTCAGATGAATTCTAAGTTCTAGTCACTGGAAATTTTATGATAATACTTATCAACATTGTAAGTCTCAGTTTTGTTTTATAATTAACATTGTATTCGGAGGCTTCAATATTTAATCTCGACTTCTCTTTTAACAACAGGAAATATTTAAACCTATAAGTGAAAATATTCTTTTTACAGAAGCTAATAAACGACTAATTTTATCAAATTATTAATCTTGGAATTAGAGATCCTTTATATTTTGATCCATCTGTCAGTTACGTTGCTTTTTTTCTCATTCAGTTTCATCAAATGTTTGGCTATTGTTATCTTTATTAGTGCTCATTGATCGAATTGTCGAATTTCATCTGTAAAAGTTATATTTCATGCCATTTCTTTTCCAGTAGTATGGTGAGAATCCGAATAGATTTAATTTGGAGTTCATAGTAAAGTTAATTTTTTAAATTTACTTTAATCTCTGAAACAAAGATATGTTCTAATAGTTTAAAGTCTCGTCTTCATGTTTTCAACAAGAGCAGTAAAGTTTATGCATAATCAATGACAAATTTAGAGGTTCGCAGGGTATAGCTGCATCCTCTAAGGAAGTTTTTTCCCGAACAAAGCCGAGTACTTTAGGTAATAAACAATTTTAATGTGTTATTTTCTTCCTGCACCAGAAATCATTACAAGGGGTGCATCTTGTAATGATTTCTGGATCTTCCACTGTATAAATTTCACAACGTGACGGAATTGTTTACTTATATACAATATAGTCATATCATTTCAAATATCGAAATTTCATTTTAATTAACGAAAGATAGACGATACTTAACAGCAGACCAGGCTACTTTAATATAGATTTAAAGATACGGTAACAAAGTTGTAACTAGTTTGATGCATGTCATAAGCAACAAAATTCGCTTCCGTCACACGCTATTAAGGTTAAAGAAAAAAAAAAAGAAACTAAACAAATTAATCAATTAATTCTCGTTGTGCTTTATGTGTAGCGAATTAGTTTAATTTCTACAGTCGAAGTTGTTCCGTTAGCAGGTAGATTATAAATTACGAGGACACTTCATCTCGAAAACCAGCCTATGTAAATTTATATCCTGTATTCACTTCAAATTCATGACACTTATCAACGTAGAATAAACATTTTCTAACAAATCGCGAATTCGAAATACAACGTGTTTAATATACAAACTAGAACTAAGTTTTTGATCTTCAAAAAGACAGACAAAAGTGAAAAAAGTTGTACTAAAACGACGGGAGAAAAAAAAAGGACACGTATGATCAACCTATATTAAAGAAACTAGTAAAAAACAAATAATATTACGGTACGGAAAAGGGAAAAAAGTGATCAAAATGATCAGTGTTAATCTAGAAACTTCCTTGTTTGAATACCTGAAAAAAACATGACCGTAGTGCTCCTTGACGTATGCAATATTTATCTACGTGTATTCGTCAGAAAAATTTCGAATAAAATATAAAATAAGATATACTGCATTGCCTACATAAAGTGACAGATACAACGAAATTTCAGCTTCACAGAAATCACTTACTAATTAATAGAATTTTGTAAAGCGAATATCTTTGTGTGTTATTTCGTAAAGAATTTTAAGATTTTGTTTNTAATATTTTTTTTTTTTTTTTTTAATAAATGAATTTTAAAGAAATTGAGGAATTCTCCTCGAAAAATTTATTTAGAATTCTAAATGAATTTTTTCTAAAAGAATTTTTGTTTTTTAAACAAATTTTTTTAAAACCTCTTAGGAAATTCCTGTATAAAATATTCGAATACGAAACACTTAATTGGTATCTTGTTCTTATTTGAAAATATTTTCACTTTATAAATTGAAAAACTAACAATCTGTATTTTTTTTATTGGCGATAATTTCCTCTTTTTTCCTCTTAAATTATAATTTAAAATAAAATAATCGAATCGAAATTTTCATGATGATTACTGCTAACTCTGCAATTTACAATGTAAAAGTATCTGTAAGAGCGAACTTCAAATTGGCAAATAAAATACTACATAATAAATTATTCTCTCTAAGAAAAAATAGAAAAAATATGCTTATTCTTAATATTTTATAGAATTTAATAGAATATATATAAACATAACATGAATTTGAAGCCATAATTTTCTGAGAAATGAGTGTGAATCGTTCGAAATTGGATCTTTTCCTCCTCTCTAAAACAGGAGCTTAATAATTTAATACTCGATATTCTTAAGTAATTCTAATATAAATCAAATGCACAACTGAAATTTGAAGGAAATCCTATGATAAAAGCTATCATAAAGGCTCTATTATAGGACTATTATAGGACTTCCTACAATAAAGTCGCGTATTCAATTTCTTAAAAGTTTTAATTAGTTTATCTTCATATTTCTATTTATGACAACAAATATCAATATTGATCGTATTTACTCCCTTCACTAATATTAAATGTCTGTATATGAAATTTCATCATGATATAATAATAGATACAACTAGACAGAACAATAGGTCTAATATTTTATGAATTAATTACTAATGATATCGCTTATTCTTGTTTATTATTTATTATTTAAGTAAGGAATTAGCTATGGTAATGGTGTAATTGAGAATGACGCGTAATTATTTATAATAATGTCAACTTTACCGAATAAATCTTAAATTATTTTAAAATTAAAGCATTTAAAAAGAGAAAAAATTTAAAAGAATTGTCACGACAGAGTTTCCATCATGAAATTTTGACTGGTGTGGGCATATTCAGAAAGAATTAGGATGTAGTGGAGCGTAATTATTTACGCTTGTGTAAACATAATGACTTCTCCATGACGTAAATCCAAAAGTAATTTTAAAATAATTAAATAATTTAGTTTCTATAACATCATCGAGATGGAAATTCGATCACAAAGTTGTGTTATTAAACAGTAACCATATCTGATTTCGTCTTAAAATAGTAAGTTCGTACATCACTAGCTTTATTCTAAATAACCTTGTCAAACTTAAAGATATATTTTCTTTTCTTCTTAACGAAAA